GGCTGAGGTTGAGGGGTTTGCGGTTTTGGGGGTTGCTGGCCCGTTGGAGTCGTCGGAGTGGCCGGCGTGGGTGAGGGCAATCCTTGCTGCTGGCCTACCACGCCAGTGCGCTGCATACTCGCCATCCTCCTTCGGAGCATCTGTGCCTGCTGCAGGCGATGCTGAAGCTGTTGTTGACGAAGTTTGTGTTTAATGTTGAGGCAGAAGGGCACCGGGCACTTGTTCTCCTGGCAGTGTTTCGCATGGTAGCAGCAGAGAGCGATGAGTTGCTTGCAGATGGGGCACCCTCCATTGGTTTTGCGTTTGCAGCCTTTGGTGTGCTGGACGACCCGTTTCATCTTCTGGCAGGACGGCAGCGAGCAGTTGGCGTTACGACACTGGCAGGCATGGACCAGAGACTGGATACAGCGCTGGATGCTCAGGCGCCGGGAATCGCCAGGGCTCTGGGTGGTTGCAGTCTGCTGGTTGTTGCTCTCATCATCTAGACCAAGCCCTAATTTTTCCATCTTGTGGTCATGGTTTTTAGTGTTATAGCAGGTGATGCACAGGTCATAATCCTGGAAAGACAATGAACGAAAAGTTACTGGTGTTCCTGAAGCTCCATACAATAAATAAACGATGTCACACCACCTCAATAAATTACTTCCAGTCTCTTTCAGGTGATTCGTTGCTCTAGGGAAAAATTCTATCTTTCACACCATGCTGAGGTGCTAGAGAAGGAATAAATCTGAGTTATAGCCAGGGAAAGTGTGTGGGTGTAAGGGTGTCTGAAATCTACACAAACAGATATAGCTAGAAAAACAAGCTTGCTCTGAGCTACTAAGTCATATTATTCAGCTGGGCAGAAAAATACCTTTCTTTTCTGATAGGAAAGGAGAAGAAGAAGGCAAGTAACAAATAGCTGCCCATCTGCTGCTGCTTCAAAAGAAGCGAGCAAGAGTAACAGGAGAGGTACCAATTTTCAAAGAAGAAAGGAGTATGAAAGCTGCGTTTTCAGGCAAGTTACACAGCAGTGTGCTGAGAGAAGAACAGAACAGCATTTACATTCCATGAAAGCAACAGTACATCAGTTTAGGCTCAGTAATTAAGACAAAGAACCGAGTCCTCAGGATTCATCAGTCCATAGGAAATTTAGAATTTATCTTCTGGGGAAAAAATTAAGAAACAGGAACATCAAATCTTAATCAGAACTTTTTCAGAACTGGAGACAGTCATTAACTTCCAGCAGGCTAAAAAAAATTTAACATACAAGCCAGACTGAAGGTTAATCCAGCTTCTGGAAGGCACAACATTGACCCAGACCACTGGACTCAATCTTCAAACTCACCAATACTGTAAACACTTCTGAAAACAAAGAATGCTGCTTGCAGCATTCAATGGAGAGAAAACAGGGTAGTGGAAGACTCATCCAAGTATAGAAATCTGACTTCTAGCACAGAAAAACCACTATTCCAATAAATCAGCAGAGAGCCCTATTTAAGAATTACTGCAGCACAACACTTCCAACTCTGGAAGAAGAAAGAACGCACTGCTCTTCAGAAAAATCAGCTGATCCTACCAGCACTGCTTAAGCAACTGCTACAGTTCCCAACTGCTTAAGCAGTGGCAGCTTAAATGAACTACAGGAAATACGATTCTAGTTCAGTTCTCCACCGCTTGAAAGTAAAAGGCAAAAATCACACCAAACAGCAGATTAGTAGAATTGCTTGTTACGTAAAACGTTTTCTCTCCTTCCTTTCTGAAATGCCAGAGGATGAGTTGTCCAAATCTTTTCCCATCAGTTAATACTTAGAAATCAGTTCAGGTAAAGAACACTCTCTGCACAAAGATACGGGGACACAAGCAAGGAAAATTTCACCAAGCATACCTCACAAACAGTGCAGTGCCATCTGGTCTCCACATGATGCTTGCACTCATTGCAGGTGTACACAAAGCGATCTTGGCTCTGGGTATGCAGTTCCACCAGCATGCACATGGTTGACCACTGAGCCCTTCGCAGTGAGGAGAACTCCAGGTGCTTGTCTCTAGCAAGGGTCAGGAAAGCGTCACGCCCATCCATCAGGTCACATGGAATGAGTGGGTCAGGCTCAACGATGGGGGGGAGGGAGTTGGCTGCGGGGCCAGCAATGAGACGGATGACAAAGAAGACCTGAGGAAAAAAAAAACCAAAATTTCAATATGCCAGCACGTACCATCAGGTTGACCTGCAGGGTTGCCGTCTTCAGAAGCATTAGGTAAGGAGCACTGGACTGAGCAGTAAAACTGTCATGACACCTAGACTGTTCAGAAGTTCTGTATGAGCACAGTTGGATTTATCCCCATTGCCCTCAGAGCAAAGAGCACCGAGACTTGTCTTGTCTGATGCACAACTCAATTCCCCAGCCAAACCAGTATAATTTACCAGGCACGACTCTGAAATATCAACGCTTTGTACGCCTCTCTACTTAAGTAAAATACATACTTTCTCATTCTATCAACGCTTACCTCTTTGTGCTTCTCCATAGTGGCGTACAGCTTTTGGGAGAGGTCATTGGACACATTGGGCATGCCAGGCTTTTTCTTATTGCCACGACTCAAGCTGCTCTTGTTCTTACTAGTCTTCTTATTGTTCTTCTTCTTGGCATTTTTGCTGTCTCCCTTGCTCACCTATTAATTTTAAAGGCATTTTCTGTCAGGTATCTAAGTCACACCACATCAGCATTTTATTACTTCCATATCTCCTATAACCGTAGGACAAAACCACAACTTCACAATAATTTATTCCAAAGACATTTACCGGGGTCCCCTGAAACATTAAGTTAATTCCATTAGAATCACTCTAGAAGAAATCAAGATCAGCAATACATAGTGCTAAAAATACTAAAAGCATAAATGCTCAGAAGCTGCAAGAGAAACACTATTTTCTGAAACCTGTTTATCTGCTCCAGTTGAACACTGAAGAACCTCTTGGATAATCACAAGGGGGTTTAGCAGATGGCTTCTCAATGCAATTCAAAACTAAAAATAACTGAAAAGTACAACTGTTTTTGCACTAAGCAAAAGTACAAAATACTTAATCCACATAGATTTAGTCTGTTGCAGCTCTCTGACAGATTTTTATTTTTTAATAGACTGCATTAAACTGATTTTGATACGAATCTGTCCTCCTGAGTCCGAAATGCATTCACAGCGCTATTTCTACTATGCACCTTTCTCCTGTCATATCTTGCCAGTCAAAAAAAATGGGTCAGCTTAATTTCATTACCATCAATTAGCAATGAGCAGTTTATTCCTCTCTGTGCTTCTCAGAGGGCCCCTCAAAACACTACAGCAAATACTGATCAAGGATCAAAGTGACTCTTATCCAAATAAGCATTTTTCCTAAGCTTAGAATAACTTTGTCAGGACGGAAATTTCCAGCGAACACAAATGACTTCGTTTGAGAATATAGTTCATTATTGCCTCATTTTCAACAGGTGAAACATGGAGTCAATAAAGAGTTTAAACTATTTTTAGTAATAAAGATTAAATAGTGATATGCTGCAAGCTTTCCCCCTTGCAGGATTTTGGGGTCAAGCTGCTGTGAAGGATCAGCTAAGTGTTGACCAATCACACACAGAGAGCTAGGCCAGGTTCCTCACAGCCAGTTTTTGGTATGTTAGAGAGATGGGAACTTACAGCTATGCTGAGTGGAAAACAAACCTTTAAATAACACCTTTCTAACCAAGATGTTAGTTATTGTACATCTAATGTCAAATTACCTAGTTCCCAGGTTACTCTTATATCTAATTTATTCAAAGTCCTTGAAAGGAGATATTGCAAAGAGCAGCAGAGCAGAGCCACAAATTCTAGTTGTAATGTTAAATCTGATTTTTTTCTGATCCAAAGATCTTTTAGAGAAAAGATTAATTCTAAATCCCAGCAAAAACCTAGTAACTATTAAGGTGACAAAGCAGCTGTGTAAACAGTTAACTAACAATTATCAAGTTAACTAACTAATAAGGGAACAAAACTGCTAATCTTACCCTAGATTCACCACCTCTTCCATAAAAACTCAGAAGATCCAAGGATGAGCAGATGCGTAAATTCTGCATCTGTTGATTTTCAAATTTATTGTTGAATTAAAATCGCATACTTTTTTTTTGTACTTTATGGAATGTGAAAGCACAGTTGTTGCACAACCTCAAAATAATATAAAAATTGCACAAGATACCAGCAAAAACTGTCTCTGGTTTAAAGTAGCTCAACAACAGCTGAGCAGTAATTTGTGCTTCAGATCCTCAATGCCTTAGAGCTTTCTACTAAGAAAATCCCTGTACAGAGTAAACTACAAAATCACAGTACTCTGTTACCTTCCAGAACATTCTACTAAGGTTGATATTATAACATCTAAGTTAGAAGGAGAAAAGGTAATCATTATTCAAAAGCTAAAGCTTAAGGAAAAAGCTTCCAAAGTCAGGCTGAGGTTGCAGTATGAATACTGATAATAATTGGATTTCAGCAACAAAATATTCAACTAGCAGCTGCTTCAATCTAATTGACTTTAGTAATTAGGTTTACAGCCATATGAACAGCCGCTGCTCATACAAATGTAGCTTAGTGGTATTTTAACAGCTCCGATTTATAAAATGTAAAATTGAAATCTGTATTAGAGTGAAACCAGAAAGGTTAAAAAAAGCCAGTTAAAGTGCCTACCCCTCCTTTTTTATCAGCCATATGTAATCACAACTTTTACATTATATAATGAAATAGCAGAAGCATTCTTACATCCGTGCTTTCATTACTAGTGTTTTCTTCTCTCTTCCGTTCTTCTTCCTCTTGCTCAAGTTCCTTAATGCTCTCCTCTAGAACATTAGGCCAGAAATCCCCTTCAAAGTAAGGTAGCTCTTTTGCACTTGTTAGACGATCTTCTGTTGCCTGCTTAAATATATCCTGAAAAAAGGGCAAAACACTCGGTTACTACTATTACAAGTCACATATGTAAAGACAACCTTTTCAATAAGTGATAAAAAAGGCACAAAGAACAGCTTGATATTTCAATGCATTTTATGAAAGCATACTCGGAGTTCAGATTTAATTCTGTTATAGTTTAACCAGCTACGGTTAGTCAGATGCATATCAAATATTCCCACTCTGAGGAAATACATCTTTACCATGTGCTAGACTTCAAAATGCATACTTATACCAAATGGGACAATACAATCACTGCATTGTTGACACTAGTGAAGTCCTCATGATTCCAAAGATTTTAAATACTTCTAACTGCATCAGCAACCTAACCCTGCAGTTTTGTTTAACACTGAAAGATTAAAGATTCCATACGTTTTCTATGTATTGATGAAATGTGATTTGTTCTCTTTGACAGTATTCCTCAAAAATTTAGTTTGTTCTAAGGAATCATTTCAAATCTCTTGCTAGAATGATTTCAAAAGCTTACATGCTTTGAAGAGGATGTATTTTAACTCTAAACTTCCAGTGCTCAATTCACTTAAAATTAATACAGCAAACACCAAGGATCAGACACAATGCATAAGGCAGGGAAGACACCAAGACACGACTGGTCAGACCTTTTCCCCCCAGCCCGGTCGATACAAACACAAACTTGACAAACCTTATAATCATGGACAATGCGCTCCGAAACAGACTTGTCCAGCATCTTTTTGTACCACTCTTGCAGTCGTTTGGGTTTGGGTATCTTTTGGTCAGGAGGATGGCAGTGGAAGATGTAGTCATCTCCTTCGCTAGGTGGGCATGCCCAGATATGTCCAGTAGTATACCTAGCATCAGTAGACAAAAAAACGTACTTGTGAGCTGAGACGATTAACACCAGAGCTTGCTTTCCTCTCTGCCACGAGGTGGAGCCACCACAAAGTTGGCTGGTGATACCAGACAGACAAAAATTACAGCTCTCCAAGATTTTAATTCTAGCATTCATTCTGTCCTCATTCATGTGATAGCATTACCATCTCTTCACTAACGTTTTAAAATTCCCTGTTATACGTGGAACAGTTTATATGAAATGTGCATATTTTCCAGTCTAGATTAAAAAAAAAAATCAAAGTCCAATACAGACCTCCAACTATCGCCTTCCACTTAACTAATAAGAGAAAGACGGAGATGAGGTATTTCAGTAGTAAAAGCCAGAATTCTTATTGCTTGAAGACAGTCCAGTCATTCATTATCTAGCAACACTGTATAAACTTTTACTTAGACACACAATTCACCTCTCTTCTGGAAATCCTCTGGTTTTTAATTTTGAGAATCACAGTTTTAAAACATTTCACAACTGTATCTGTGATTAAACAGCCACTATCAACTTATGCTACTGGGTGTACAATCTTAGTACCACGAAGACAGATGACATCCAAATAGTAGCAGCTGCAGAGAATATAATACCACAAAGATCACTTCTTCACCCTCAGTTCTTCTTTTCTCTATTAGATTTTGAAAAGAACTCCAGTAGGAGGAATAATTGGATGGCAAGTTAAAGAAAAATAACCACCTTCACCGTGTTGAGAAATGGCTCTACAGAACCCTACCAAAATGCTAGAAACTGCAGCCCGTTGCCATCCCTTCTGCCTGAGAAGGGAGAGATGAAACTCTGATCAACATTGTTTTCCCAAAACAAGAACCCACAGCACAAAAACCAGCATTAAGTAAAACTGAGGCCTGAGCTATATGCAGCAATTCTACAGACTTGCAGGTTGGAAAATACACACACACACAAAAAAAAGCAGAACTAAGTCTAATGTGTGCCTTGGAAGTACTAAGGAACACATTATGTCGTGGAGGTAGTAGAGTCACAATCCACCTCCATTCTGACTCCCCTCGTTTTTCTCATGCAACTACTATAAACATAGTCCCAAACACTTTCTTCATGAGTAAGTCTCTGCCAAGCTACACCAGATACCTTTGACAGTAGATCGATGTTTATTTCACTGCCTTTTCTACTTCAGCAGTCATGGTCATCTAATTTCCACCTTCCACATTTCTTCAGTTGTTCTGTATTCTCTTCTATGCTGCCCCAAGTATCCTCTCCTCTTTCTCTTCTAAATTCTCAGTCTCTCACAATTTCAACTTTTCATAAGGCTACTAAGAAATTGCTTTTGGAACACAGCTCTCAGTCAGTACAGACAGAATACACTCACTCACCTTTCATCTTATACACATGGGTAAGCACTTACTTGCTAGGGCCAAAGGAATGAGCTGATTAAAGCAGTGGGCATTACACAAGGACTGCACCATCAACAAGGTCAGCAAAATTCTACAGTCCAGATAAAAAGACGCACTTTTTCTACTTGGACTTAAGGAAGTTTTATGTAAGTTTGGAAACCTGGAAGTATCTGACACATAAGCTTGTCTTTAAAAGCCTGCACCCCCTTTCTGACTTTTCTCCTTTTCAACTGTACACAGTTGCTGTCATATTATTTATCATCAGTTGATATTTAGGCACCATATTCTGCACAATCAAATGCAGTAATTGCATTTGCAGTAAGAACTACCTAGGACAAATGCTGCACAGAAGAAAACATTGAAAAAGACTTACCCTAATTTCTTGACATATTCTAGGTATCCAATTAGTATTTCATGATAGACAGCAGTCCTCAAGCATTTAGGGCGGAAGAAATGAACACTGTCAAGGTAAGATATATACACTCGCCTAAAAAAAAAAAAAAAAAAAAGACGAACAAAAAAAAACCGCATGAGGAGAAGCAGAGATTTCAAAGTAGTTCACAAGTTTATTCACGTTACTTTATACATTTGAAGCACCCAATTCAACAGCAATCTTCAAAGCCTCTGATCCTAATTTACCTCTGGAAACTCAGTTTTCTTTTGCTATCCTAGCCTCATCTCTCTAAAACTATCCAATCCCTTCCTTGAGAATACTGCAACTAATCCTGAAGGCACTGACTGCCAGAAAACAACCCTGGTAAGAAGCGACTCTGTGACATATTTCCCTATGGAAGCCACTTTGCTTCTGGAAGCTAACGGGACAGAGTCTTCACATATGCTAAGCTGAAGCTCTACACAGAGCTTCAGAAGGTTCACCTGACTCTAACAGCACCAACAGAAAACAGTTTCATGCAGCTCCTCACCTTTGATTGGGCGGAGGACAGTCTGAGCCATACTCCTGCACGTGCATCCCAAAGAAGCACAAGTCTACGCCATCAATCTCCTCAAAGGCAAAAAGCGCTTTTGTTCGATAAGGGAAAGACTCGGCCATCTCTCCGCTGTCGACAAACCTGCGGATCGCAAAGGGTGAAGAATACCAAATATATTCACTTATCAGCAAATGCATGTCACTAGGTAAAGGCAACAATTATGAGGGCTACTTTAAGTGTAATTTTAGTGCCATTTTGAAGTTAAATGCTTAGGGACTACTCAAAGACAAAGCATCCACTTTTTACTATGGAAAAGATGACACTCATCACAACTAATTGTAACATATGCTGCTGTAACATGTTTGTCAAGAATTGGTCACTGGTGAGGTTTTTAATACAACCGTCTATTTTTTCAGAATAGCAGCACACAAGTAACTTTAAATAGCTTCTACCTCCCCCAAGAGAAAGCAAAATTAGAGATGGAAAGAACATACCTTGCTTTCATTCCTGGTTTTACTTCGACAGTTTTGTCAGATGCATGTACCACCCTAACTGTAACTTCTCCTGCCTCAGGGTGATTCTGTCGTCTTAAGAAATCATTGACTCTGTTCTCCAAGAAGGTACCAAGTCTTGTAGCTGGTAACCCTGCAGGAATAAAATACAGCTCTAAACATATACAAAACTGAACTGTTCAAGTGTGATTTCTCTATTCAGATGTTAAATGAAAAGTGACTCAATGAGTGCAGTATCTTACAAATTAAAGCTTTATCACTGAACACTAACACTTGGGAGATAGGGTGAGCTGCTTTTCACCTGCAGGCACGTTTATGGTTTATATTTTGTTTAAAGAAAGAATCTGCACTTCCATCCAATTTCTATCTGTCTTAAAAGTCAATTGCAATTCTTGAAGAGAAGCTATCAATTACTTAAACTGGATTACCAAACACTGCTCTCTGAAATATCTTGTCTATAAAGCCGCACTAGCCAAGTTAGTCTCTTCACTTGCCAAAATCACGTATTTCAATAATGGAAAGAACAACTAAATACGACTGTATCTGTAAGTCATGTAGTTTGTGTAGAAGCTTCTCATTTTCAAACAATCCTCATACAAAGAAGTACAAGCATAACATTAGCTGACAGAAACCTGAAGCTGAAAGGGTGCTCAGGACTTCTAGTGTAACACAGCCTGTCTCACTGCTGTCCATGACTTCTGGCAGAGTTAACGTCTCTGCTAATCAGCTTTTCCTTTTTCCAATTTGACACTTTTCAAGTAAAGCATCATAATACCACGCTAACTCTGCAATACATCCAGGTAGGCAGAAACAAAACCTGATAAAAACCGTAAAAAGAACCCTTGTATTCTGCCTGCATTCTCAGTGACTCTAGGGAATTTTGATTTTGGAGATTTTACAAAAAAGACTCAAACGTTGAAGTCATTCATTGAATGGTTTGCTGAATCTTAACACTATTGGTTGGCTGAGGATTTATATTTTTTTAAACAGAAATTTAAATACTCACTATTTGTGGGACTTACAATGACCCGAGAGGCTTCTGAAAGACTTATTTTGTCTATACAACAGATGGACAGTGACTGCACAAGTTTCCTCCTACACTGCCTTCAAATCAACTCTTTCAATCAAGAGGAAATGTCTATAGAGTTGTTAGCAGGTGATGCAACCCTTATCTGCATCAAAGCTTTTAAGAGCAGTCATACTCATGGTGACTTGAACATGTTAGTACAAATTTAAGTTAAACTGCAGTCACACAGCAACTATTTCCCAACGCTATTAATACTGCAACTGAGATAAAAGGATGCATATCTCACATTAGCCATGCTCTAAAGCAGTGCGTTAACCCTCTACAACGGACTATTAACCAATGACAACACCTGTGAATGCAAACAATCTGAACATCACAGAACTGATGTTTGGAACTGACCAAAAGTATCCTCCTTTAATACAAGAAGACTGAAATAAATGCAAAATGAACATAAAAGCCATCTCCTTTCCACTCCTAGATTATTTAAGGTTTGTTGATGCCAGTGCCAGAGTCTTACTTTTAGCAGAGAATTTGTTCTCCTTCCTGGTCCGTCCTGTTTTCTTCAGGCAGCCATCACAGACAAAGCTGCAGCAAGAAGAGGAGAAAGTGAAAAACCATCCCAAGTCAGACTGTAAAGTCCCCTCCCATCTTGCCAGAAGCAACATCTTTCATGTGATCTTGTCTGGTCTGGGAAACACCTCAACACTCCAAAGTAGACACTACTACTGCCAGCAGAAGCAGCCCAACTGCTTCAGAGCTGCAGAGGAGGACCTAAGCTCCAGGGGGTGCATCTCCTGTCAGCCACCTGTCACCATCTGCAAGCTCAGGAAACAGGGCATCCACTGGCAGTTCTAACAATGCTGGCTTAAAGTATCTCCGAAATAATCTCAAACTGCTGCCTCTGATGAAGGTAAGATATTGCAGTAAGTAAAGCAACAGGCTGATTTTTTTCTAAAGGCCTGACTACACTGTAGCATGAAATGATGGGCAGATCCTGCCTCAGCTACAGAAAATCTTTCCTATTCTGCAGCAGTGTGGATGGGATAATAGAATAGTAAAAGTCACAGCTTTCTTGTCAAGAAAGGGAACATTTAAGCTCTTAGAGAGCTTTATCTACATACAATTTATCAGCCTTTTAAAAAAGCTTTTAAAGCAATCAGAAGAAATCCCAGTATGTCAATCAAGAACAATGGAGTATCTGAAGAAGACTATATTTTTTTCTCAGATTTAATCTGATTACTTGAGGTCAAAAAAAGTGAATTCACCAATTACATCCTTTAGCTGTTACACATTTTTATTTGTACAGAAAACAGCTCACTATGAAATTGCTACCAGAACCAGAACCATCTTTTCAAGAAGGACTAGTACCTTTAAAACACGAAACGCTGAAACGTAAGACTGAAAGGCCCTCTTCCACACAAAGGAATGTGAGGAACATTTAAGATTAGGAACTGCTTCACACATACCACAGATAGATAGGATATTTATATTTGATGTTACCCTACAGATTCTGTACAATTTTCAGATGGGACTGCAACTTCTTCCATTAGACACTCTTTTAAATATAACCAGTATAAGGAAGTTCATGCATAAACCCCAGTAAATCTATTGTATACTCTCTATTGAAGGAGCAAATTCCTCACCCAGAAGGCCAGATTATCTCATTATGAAGAACACAGATCTGGTGCATTTTTCTTCCACATTCTATACATTCAACAAATCTGCAGAAGGAATACAAGGGGAAGGGAAGCAAGGTTAGCCGTTATCATTACTTGCTTGTATGTTTTGTAATATTTTATTAGAGAATTTCTAGCATTTTAGGCTCTTAAGACTATTTAAGACAGAAAGCGTATCTATGCTGAGAACAGCTTCCAGAACGAATTAAGAATCTGTCAAGCTCAAGTCCGGTAACACTATGTAGGGACACATTATTATTACTATTTGCTTGCCTTACTGCCACCCACTTTGTTAATTTTTTTAAGTGAAGCCCTTTTAAGGATAAAATCTGTAAACTGCTTGTTGCTACCATGAAGTGAGTAAAATGCATTTACGGGTGTCAGAAGTGAAGAACCAGGAGAAACAGTCGGCTCTTAGTTGCCCCATTATGATTGAAGCCTGAAGTACATTGCAAATATACCGCAGAGAGGTGGGAAGGAAGGAAACAGAAGCAATATCAAAGTCGGTTTCAGAAGACTCGGAGAGATTGAAGGATGTGACTGAGGTACGTGATACAGTCTACTTCACAGATGTCGGTGAATATAATTCTCAAAAATACCTAGGGTTGCTTCATGTATCAGAGGACAGCCTGCCTTGTCTCAAACATGTCTATTTACAAGACTCTGAGACTCTGCATGAACAGTTGTCATTTATGTAGAGCATATGGTATCATACTGTAAAAGTTAGGCTGGTGTTGTACTGTTAAGCTGTATCTTCACCACAACAAAGGGAAAGAAAAGTTATGAATTGAGTTACTATTCTCTCCTTCCCACAGCCCTTGTAAAACAGGGCTTATGCCCTTAGTGTGGGAAGAACATAAGAACATGGATTCTTTTTTTGCTCATTCCTTTGAGGATGAAGATAATGTTTGCTGAGTAGCACCACAGGTGTGTAATGTGGTACCAGGTAAAGCAGCATCAAAAACCCCCTTCAGGACTATCAAGAAAAGCAGCTGAGACACCATCATAACTTTACGGAGTGTCTACAGCTCTGCTTCCAGAGAATTGGCTGATTCAAATTTAATGACTTTCCCTTCTACTACACCTGCTTCTAAAATATGACAACTAGAAAAGGCAACCGCACCAAAAGAGCTACCAAGCGACTCAAAACAGCTCTGAGGCTCGAGCATTTGCAAAAACAGGGTTTCAACGCAGAGCTATCTGCATTCATCCTCCTGTTGAATCCACATTCAAGACAACAACACGCAACAACTTCTGCACATACAGTGTTATATATTTCTCAAGTACAGCTGTGGTGGTTTGCGTTCTCAGCACAGAATGCCAGATACGCTGCTTACTGAGCCACCCCTGTCAGCTAAAAGAGCTACACAAAATTCAGAAAAAAATCAAAAACAAAGCTCATGGTCAATGGATAACATGACTTTTACAAAATAATCATAATGAAATGAGGATCACCCAAAGTGAGACAGCATTACTTACAGTTCAGGGTCCAGTGTATCATTTTTCCTTTTTGAAAACTGTTCTTTGTTTATCGTGCTAAGGAGAAACAGGCAATAAAGCTCAGTTTTAACACAAGACAACACACATTCATGCCATACCACACATATCCATACACCAAGACAAAACTGGCAAGCAGATTTTTTTTTTTTTTTTAAACACTCATTGGCAAGGAAAGAAGTTGTATTTCACAAAGTGACAGACAACTTGAGCATGTGCCATCCTTGACTCTGCCTGTGGAAAACATCCTCTTCTACAGGACAATAGCTTGTAGAGAATCACATTGCTCCCTTACTCAGTTTTACTGCACGATAAATAGTAAAACTTGCCAACATTGGAGTTTTGAACCAGACTGAACACTATTTCCTACTTTTGATATGCCTCTCTGATATTCTGAAGGCAAAGAATTCCAATTATCTTTACCGAGAAAGGTGGGTTATCTTATTTCGGATTCCCCTGGCCCTCCTCCTAGATTAACCTCTAAGGACAAATTTCAGTTTCTAAACCCTGCAATCCTAGCCCAGTCACTACTCTACACTCTATCTTCACCTTTCCTAAAGGCCAGAAATTGCATCTTTTTGACAGTGAAGTCTTGGGTATCTTTTACACCAATCTGGTTCAAAATAGTCCAGAATCACCACATGAGAATATCGAGATCTCTGAGAACTACCCTAAAGAAGGTGCTGTATAATGTGAGATTAGTACATGTGTCTCTGAGAAGCAATGACAGAGACTCAATCCAACTTGCATTAATGAGGTATACTAACCTTCCTATCCTTTTACTTCAGTATTTATCCTGAATATTCAGTATTCTGCCACCTGCAGAATACTTCAAGCTTCTATCAGATAAATGATGAAAATTCAATCTCTCAATTACTTCAAACTATTATTATAATACGGTGAATAGAAATGTAAACAGGACCTAATCTTTTTCGCTTTTCTTCATTTTAACTACAGGTTGAGGGAAGAGAGGAAGGGAGCAGGATCTCCATGTCCCAGCAAAATGAGGTCCTAAATAAAAAGCGTGTAAGCAGGTGAGAACATTCAGAAGTATACCTGCTCCTCAAGTGCAGCCTAGAGCCTCCATTTTCACTACACAACAACCAAACATTTAAACCAGCTACAAAAAAGAATATCAGGAGCTTGGAAATACCCTCTTACCATTGCTGGTGTTCAAAAGAACTTTCGATCCTTTTCTTTATTGAAAAAAAAAATTTAAAAAAATCTGTATTCAGCACCTATATTTCCAAAATCAGTGTAAAAATCCACAGCACTCTATGCTGTCTTCTACCCTGACTCAAAGGCTTGTGGCAAACCATTCCAACTTATGCATATGAGCAAGACCATATTCTCTCAGCAGCTAAACAAACCCTCTCCTTGGCTTCAGACTTAGTCCTAAGTTCCTCACTTGTTTCTATCTGCAGCGTTTCCTTTCTTCAACAGCTCAAAGAGTAACTGCTTGGCACTAATTTGTCCCTCGAAGGTTTCCTTAATCTCCCAGAACTCCGCTTCAAGATTATTTTTTGGGGGAGGCACGAGGAGGGTACAGTAGAACAAAAGATTGTCCCAATCATTTGCCACCAGCATGGCAAAGGCAATGAAACCCACCCGCAGTCTTTCACGATTATCTCCTCAATAACCGCACAGCACTTCTCAGAAATAGATGTCACTCCAAAAGTAAAATATTAGTTATGGCAAAGGGAGGGTGCCTGCTTCTGATTTGGATGAAAAACAATCGCAAGATGAATATGAGTTTACCAGTATGGCCATCCACAAGCAGAATTGTATGTTTGACTTCAAGCTACACCTGTCACCTACCTGCCTCTGCAGGGCATGGTTATTTTTCTGCAGTATAATACTTAATATTTTCTTTTTCCTGAAAAAAAACCCTATTATGTTCTGTCCCCTCTGCTGGCGTAGGTGCAATTTTAAGCATTAAGTGCTATTTTTTTACTACATTTCAGTCTATTCTAGTTTAAAAAAAAAAAAAAAAAGCATCTACAGCACACATTTAGGCTTTTAGGAAGAATATCTGGTCCACCTTCTGCAAGCTTATAAACAGCAAGGGTCACCTAGATGTAAACTCCTTCCCTTGGAGAAAGAACTACGGGTCATGACACAGCTTATGAACGCACAGTGCAAGCAAACACAAATAACTCACGTTTGAGGTTGTGATGGATCATCTCCCAGAGAAACGCTCTCCCCTTGGATTTCGTTGAAGCACTTCTCACAGAAATGATACCTGTCAGCAAGAAGGCCATATTTGGGTGAACTGCTCCGTCCACACAACACAGCCCAAGTCAAGCAACGGAGCCACCAATCACAGCAGGCCAAGGAAGGGACAGGAGCAGAGAGCAGGTCATCAACGGCGACAAGGATATTCAATGATGCGGATTTATAGGCCCCACATTGTGTTTGGTTCATTTGGGTTTTTTTTGGTTTGGTTTTTTTGCGCAATCAAAGCCAAGTGCAGACAATGACAAGCATGAAGGAGAAATAAAAAAACACACACAAGAACAAACAAAGAAATGGGGGGTTGCAAGACAAAAACAAAAACATAGAAGCAGGACGAGACAACACAAAGCAGAAAGCCAAGGCAAAGCACAGATTAGCATCAAATCTCTCAAATGGGTTCACAAGCAGCAAATGATTAAAGCAAATTAAACAAGACTATTCCATTTCAGCATACCCATACCCTCTTCATTTTAATAATCCATGCCACGCACAGCAAAGAATTAAAATGAGAAAGGGAAAAGAGCAGAAGGAAGGAAGAACTGCTGCTCTGACTTGTTCATCAGCACAGCAGTTCCAGCAGCAGGAGGATCTGCAGGAGATCAATGGAAGAGGGACGGTCTTCCATCCTAAATGTATAAATGCTGAAAGGCCATGGGATTCCCTCCCAGTTGAAAGGGAAAACTAAGCATCAGAAGCTTCAAGAGCAATAAAATCTGCCCTCAAAAATCTTACAGACATTAATTACAGAAATGTCACGTTAACATGTCAAACTATGTTAACTAAATACCTAACTACACACAATGCTCCACATGGAGATGATTCTGCCATGGCCCAGTTTGACTGCAGAACAGCCTAGGCATCAATACAGCAAGCATTACAGAGAAATATTTCATTTACACTGGATTATAATAGTAATTAATTCAAGATTCTACCCCAGCCCTCAAAAATGTTCTAAAACTGTGGCCTCTCCATTACTAAGGCATGTTAACTGAGTGCACAAGACATCCAAAAATAAAAAGAAAAAAAAAGAAAAATCAAACAAGTTTATTATAAAGCCAAACCAACCAACACTATAGCAGCTGTGAGGCTAAAAAGACAGGTCTTAACCCCCTTCTCCCAGTTTTCACGTGAGATAATGCAGAGAACAGTGCTTCTGGAATCGTACTTCGGTCTACATACATATATGCATGTGAGTTTAGAACATGATTTACAAATCACATGTACACACCTGTTAGAGTGCACACAGGCGACATATAACTACAATAGTTATTATGGGATACTGCAAGCTTATTTTCTACTTCTTCACTCCTAAAAACCTCTGTTCACTGCTATAAGCCTTCATGAAGCCCAGGAAGGTTAAGATAACTCCTGTAGCTCTTTGGCTGCCTCCACCTGATCAGGTGCTTAAGAAAACTACAATTCTTGCAAAATTGTCTTGGCTTTCAGTTAAAAGCCTTAGGTGCTTTTGTTGTTCTGTTTTGAGGTTTTTTGTTTGGTTGGTTAACATGTTTTGTTTGTTTGTTTAATGTGTTGGAAAGAATTGAGAGCAGGAACTAAACTGATGGAGGTAACATAGTTTGGGAGGTAACCAGTGTTCTGCTCTAACACATGTTCTGGTGGCAGGCCAGGGGATGTAGGAGCATTAAAGTATGTATTGTCCTGCTTCGCTTCCTCAATTGACAAAGAACTGCCTAGCAAGAAACATTCTTTCAGAAGTCAAACAGGCTTTAAGAAACCCCGAGTAAAAAAAAAAAAGCCCAAAATTATTAAAGAAAGCTGTCAAAGTGACAGCACTTTATGGAGCTGCTCACAGCTACTGCAAGCCAACTCCCTTAAGGAAACTCCAGGAGAAAAAGCACGCATCATTCTCCTGAAGATCTGAATACACAACCCTTCCAACAAAGATGCATATTGCAAAAATAAGCTCACTCTTCAGTGTTAAAATCAGGAGAAAAACAAAGACTTGTCAAGTATAATATGTATTACGACCATTAATATACCTGCTGCACGCTTTACTCAGTGTTCTGCATGAAAAACACTGCTGCATAGCAGGAAGCAAGAACAATAGACTTGTATACATGATTTGTAGATAACTGAAGGTTTAATTAACTGCAGGATAAAAATCTATTAAAATACCGCGTTTCTCCAAGCAAAAGAGGAAGAGCAACGGTTGCAGTGAACTTTTGCAGAAAGAAGTCATTAACACACAAGGTAAACTATTTAAGGGCACTTCCAGCACGTTTTTATCTTAAAACACAAAGGAATACACATACAAAGAGGGTATATATGTAAACACATGCACGCCTTTAACAGATTGATTGCAACATGCACAAAACCGCACCAAGAGAGCTTCCCTTACCTGTTCTGGTAACTGTAGTAAGTGGCATCTCGAGGGATTGTGCATAGCTGTTTGCCATAGCAACACAAAGTCTGTGGCGAGAACTCCAACTGCAAAGAGGAACAGATCACCTTAGCACTCACACACGTTTTCACTTGCTCTCCACAGGAAGCAAGTGTGACCCAGACAGCGATTGCCTCCCCCTTATCCTGCACCCAGATCTCGCAGCGCAGCGAGTGGATGGAGCGCTAGTCATGGAAAGTGTTCACTGGGGTGCTATTCTCAAGTTAGCTCTTCTCCAAAGGTGGAAAGCACATCAAGCCAAGACAATGGAAACACAGTCTTGCGATACAGCGAAAGAGAGCACTTCTGCAGTAACAAAACCACATCTGTTTAAATTGCAATAGCAAACGAGTCTGCCCTATTCAAAAATAAGCCTTCAGCTACTGACTTTTTTCTCCTCAAGGTCTTATATACAAACAGATGATTTTAGCACTAGATATAATTAGAAGATCCATAAAAACCTGAAAAATCACATCGCTCAGGATTGTTAAATCCTGGTAAAGTCTCAAAACTTTTAACAAACAATAACTACTAACAACTGCAACTCCTGTATGATTCCCCCTTTGATACCAGAAAGCAAGCAGCAGACTAAAAATACTTCTTTTCTTACCTTTCTTCCACAGCAGTAACCAAGGCTCTGCATAACTGGGTCGATTTCTTGCTCAAACACCTCTGCCAGTTTGGAGCAGTACTTGTATACCCGGGATGTTTTGCGGTTATACAGCCAGGCATTATTGAACATGAGCCAGATGTCATCTACATATTGCCACGGTTCCTGATACTGTCCTGTGTCGAGCTTCCTCTTGATGGTAGAAAGGTCCATGGGGTTCTTCACTATGTCAAAATAATCCTGCAAGAATACAAAGCATATCAAAAGACCAGTACGGGATTATGCTGTGTCACAACAGCATGTGCACTCTCAGCACATAAATTCCTCTGAAGTACATCAAGTAATACTGTATCACTCCCCAGTACCTTCTTTTCATTACTCCTTTATTTCTCAGGCTCTGTTGCTCTTCCCCTCCAGATGAAATAAAGCCACTCTAATTTTAGTCAGCAAAACAATTATTACAAAGAGTAGGAAATAGCAATGCTTGTGCAGCCACTGCGGTGTGAGGATATACACAAGAGTATTAACAGAAAGCAACTGTTTTTAGTAGGCCAGACAACTTAACAAACAAAGAAATAACTTTATTAGATGATAAAAAGACACCATGTGTCCGCTAAAGAATACGATTTTCCAATCCACCTCATCAATTATGGGATGACTTCTCCTACAAAAGTCCTCAGAATACAACAGCCAGTTGAGACCTTGTTAAAGAATATTAGCATATTTATGCCCACTTATAATACAGCGAGCAATACAAAAACCAAAAGCAAACAAAATCTTTCAGGTAAAAAATCTTGCCCGAAGCATCTAAGTAGGACTTCTACATATACACATTTGTGTAAAAGTAACAAACTTGTGTGGTCAATCTAGGGAATTTAAAATACAGATCCCTGAAGGGTAGTACTGTTTTCTGAAGACAATTCTAAAATAAATAGAAAATTCTACTTAAAATCTGTAACTTGGATAGTCTCTTTCTTGCTTGTAACAGATTAATAAACATTGATTGGTGTATGTTTTTTCAACTGGTCTTGATATGCTTAATTTTCTACATATCCAGTTAAATTTTGTTTACTATGAGAAACACCTATAGCATTCAGCAACGTAAACATTGCTCCATAAAGCAACATCCATAAAAATCCTGCAGAGCACTGGGGATCTGTTGGTAACCACTTCATCAAAAGGAACAGAGAACCAAACTTCTGAAAGAAACAAACTTCCCTAAGTGAGACGTTCATTGTACGTTCCACTGCCTAAACTCAACCTCTTGAAATGCGTCGGTATGAAAATGCTAACGAGACAGACTTAAGTTGTTCTCCAAAAGCTGTGCATGTCATAATATAGTACATTTAGAATTAAAGCCAGGAAAGTATCTCGGTAAGACACTCACAGGAATTCCCAGTAGTTGGGGATCCACAGGCTGTCGAAATGGAAGAGACTCTGGATCCTGACGGTAAAGTGCCTCTAGTGTTGGCATAAGCGCCTGCCGCAACTCTTCTGGTTTGAAAACTTTGAAAAACAATCAACATTAGAAAGACGGCAGAAACGGCTTTAAGGAAGAAACCTACTGGAAAATGTGAGGTCTGTCTAAAAAGACTACAGACCATGAGTTTAAGGTACTTAGCGTGGCTTGTTTAACCTCTGCAACACTGAGTTCTAAGGAGGATATTAAAATGAGCACCCAGACACAAGGAGATGGACAAAATATTAAGCAGAATCTTGCTTTTATCACAGGAAGACGCTGTTACGTTTGAATAGAACCAGATATGGCCCCTCTCGGAGGTCCCAAAAAAAAAATTGCCTAGAAAATCTCTAACAGAGAAGTATTTCAAATTTCTATTTTATTGATCGTTTTAATATGAGTTCATGTCTTAAAGACCTTGCCCAAAGCCAATTACAAGCACATATATTATTAGATGTTTTTGTCCAAAAGCCACAAAGAACAATCCACACAAGCCTACTGAGTATCAATGAAGAAAAAGCTCAGTTCCCGCCCCGTCAAAAGACTTCTCTAGTGAGATGCAGTGAATTTCATTTAAAACACTGTTCCTGCTTACTTTTTTTCTTAGACTGCCCAGCTGCTGGAGAAGACTGAGTAGCTGGAGTTGTAGGTCTTTCTTCTCCCTCTGGTACTTCACTCTTCACTTCAGGTTTCTTCTCTTCTTGCTCCATTGGGTCTGGTTTACATTCCTCCACAATCGGTTCTACTTTAACCTAGAAAATAATTTGAAGCCTGTCACTTAGTCTCCTGTGGAGTCACCCATCCATATTTCTGTTCTTTAAACCTATCTGTCATCCTGGCCATCACTCTTCCCTAGGCTTAAGGGTATCCAACTAGCTAGAACTTGCTAGGACTTGAGCAGATGTGTTAAAAGGCATCTTTAAACATCGTGGCAGTAGCAATGCCTGAGTGACAAGCTGTCAGAGCCCAGCAAAGCAGCCCATCATGTTCGCATACAATCATAGAATCATAGGGTGACCTCATTAATGTTTATAAATATGTCAAGGAGGAGTGTCAGGAGGATGGAGCCAGGCTCTTTTCAGTGATGTCCAATGACAGGACAAGGGGCAATTGGTTCAAACTGTAACATAGCAGGTTCCACCAAAATATTAGGAAAAACTTTTTCACAGTGAGGGTGACAGAGCACTGGAACAGGCTGCCCAGGGAGGTTATGGAGTCTCCTTCTTTGGAGACATTCAAAACCCTCCTGGACGCGTTCCTGTGTGATCTACTGTAGGTGATCCTGCTCTGGCAGGGGGGCTGGACTAGATGATCTTTTGAGGTCCCTTCCACCCCCTGACATTCTGTGATTCGTGCTGGAAAAAACCTTTAAAGATCATCAAGCCCAAGTGTAAACCTATCACTGTCAAGTCCACCACTAGACCATGTCCCTAAGCACCACATCTACAGGTCTTTCAAATAATGTCCAAGGATGGTGACTTAACCACATCCCTGGGCAGCCTGTTCTAGTGCTTGGTAACCCTTCCCAGAGAAGAAATTATTCCTAACATCTAATCTAAACCTCTTGAGGCTGCTTCCTTCCATCCTAATATCTAATATTCTAATATTTACCAGCTGCCAACAACATCTGAAGGACTGACCCCAGTGCCTCCTTATACTGGCATTTACCAAAACCACTCAGAGCTGCAACCACATTATCATGAGCCTTCCCGTGCCCACTGGCTTCTAGCATCATTTCATCAAAAAAGGAACTCCCAAAACCAGAAACCCTTCTTTAGGAAGCAGACAACAATCAAAATGGTGGCAGAAGGTAGCACCCACAGCTCTCAAATAATGCTGGAAGAAATGGCTTCCATGGAGACAGAAAGCATCTAGAAGCACTAAACATTCTACCCAATGACTGGCCAACAATCTCACCTCAGGTTTCTCCTCCATTTGCAGCTCTGTCTGTTCTGATTCCCCCTCATCAGTTTTAATATCCATTTTCACTTCCTGCAAGGGTGGCTGTTGCTGCTCTGGAACAGTCTGCTGAGAGTTCACCTCTGTGCTGCTGGTGGATGGGGGGTTGGATACCTGCCCATCAATGCTCACAGCTGGCTGTGAAAGCTGAGGAAAAAAACCCACACATTACAAACAGGCTTCTAATGAACTTGTTTTCCTTTCTCCAATCATCCTTTTACCTATACTGTGTTTTCCATGAAGTTTAAATGCATTCTAGTCATGCTCCACCTGAAGAAGATATTGCTGCACAACTCCATTTACTGAAAATCAGCAGACAATCTATAGACCTGACTCGATGGAAAAAAAAAGGTTACTTCTCAAATGCAAAAAAAAAAAAAATTATATTAACCATGCTAGGAGCTACCTCCATTATTATAGATTCACACAAAGTAAAAGACCAGCTGAAAATTAAGCCTTACACTTAGGACATTTGCAGGGAAAGCACAACTAAAGTATTTCCTTACAGGTGTCGTGGGGTGCTGAGGCTGCAGCGGCGCCGTTGGTGTGGGAACGGACGCGGTCGTGCTCTGCTGAGACAAGGGCTGCTGCTGCTGCTCTGCAGAAGGGGTAACTGGAACCGGAGGCTGGACTTGTGGAGGCAGCTGTGTCTGGGGAGGTGTCGGAGTCTGCCTTTGCGGGGGGTGCATAGTTTGTGCCTGTGGTCCAGGTGGCATTGCCTGAGGAGTAGGTGTGGGGGCAGTAGTGGCAGGGGGGGGCGGTGCTGTTGCTGCGATCCCAAGCCTGGAGGGGTGTGGTGAGGTGTCGGGGTTCGGCTGGGTACTGGAGAGGGGGAATTTCGGTGCATGGGAGGCTGTGGAAGAGGCGGGCAGTGAATATGGCTCCCTTGAGAACCCGGAGCCATTGCAGGAGAATTCACAGGACAGGAAGCGCTGGTCATTTGTGCCTGTGGGAAAACCAAGCACGCGCTTGCAATCACTTGAGAGAGTAAAGTGAGAGAAATGACTGTCAAATGGCTGCCTTCCCACAGTTACTGGCATATTTTTAAAAATGTGACAAAAACTTTCTCCTTAGTTTTTTTTAAACTCTCTTTCAAAAGAAGAAATGGCCTATCTGATTTATTTTGTTCCACATGTTTTATAATTTATTCAGCTCTAAAAGAGAAGTTTCAATAGACTAACTTATACTTGTCGATATATTTAAAGAATGGCACACCTACACTCCCAGTCCACAAATCATTTCTTTCTAAAACTGCGGATTTGTACATCCTGAACACGGGACAATACCTCACAGTGAAAAATTGCATTCAAATACACATAGTGTACCCATGCCCCCACCCTCAAGACTAGAAACTGAATTTTTCGCCAGAAATAAGTACAGCTGTAACTGTACCATTACAGGATTACAAAAAAAAAAAAAAATACTGTATTGGTCAAGGAAAAAAGCTCTCACTCCACAATAATCTTGCCTGCAAACTAGGAAGAAGCATCAACGAGAAGCAAACTGACGTTCCCTACTTCTTCCTGGCCTGAAAGGTTCTTGCTGAAAAGGGAGAGGGAAAGGACAGAAAGGAAACTGCTAAACTACAAGTTCAGATCTTTAGTAGTAATAACCCTTCTATCCCCCAAAGCTAGCAACACACATTGGTCCTGGACAGACGTGCCTTTTTATTATTTATTCCACCATCTCTTAATCTCTCAGGCTCTGCCACTTCACTGTTGAGCAAGAAATTCCGAACTACTGCATGCTAAGTAACAATTTCTTCTTTGCTTGATAATAAACTTAAAATTGCTCTGCCACACTTAAACTGAAGCCTGAGGACAAGCCAACAACTTTTCACTCCTGCTATTCCCAGTGTACACTGGGAAAATGCAACCTCTCAATAAACTACTTCAGTTGACTGTAATTCCAAGAGCATCTTGAGAAAACAAGTTGTTCTCTATTAACTACAAACTGAACAGTGAAACCAGTATATGACAGAGCCCACTGATACCAGTTCCAGAAATCAGAAACTTACTTGAGAAACTGGTGTCTGACTGCCAGGCTGAGTCATCGGCATGCTCGCTGTGTTCATTCCTGGGGAAGAAGCAGGGAACTGGGTCTGTTGTAGAAACTGATTCTGACCAGAAGGTTGGCCAACTCCTGGCTGCTGCATGCGTGAAGGAAATCCCATCTGTTGGAAAAGAAAGGAACTAATTTCACACGATGCACATGCAGCTCCGTAACATTTGACCAAAAAACCACTTTTATCTTGTTGCAGAAATTGATGCTTGCCACGTCTCTGTAGGATACAATACGGAAAGCCTGCTTATAGCGCCTCTCAAAACACAGAACTTATGACGATTTGCCACGTAAGCTAAGGAAAAGGATATTCATTTCCAATTTGGACCATGACTTATAATTGATTTTTATTCCTTGTTTTAAGGATGCAACAGAACAAAAAGTCACTTAAAATTCATATTTGGGCTTTTTTTTTTTTTTAACCACCAAGATCTAAAAGGCTTACCATAGACCAGACAAATCTTTCAGTGGGGATAAAAAAGGAGGAAGCAAAGGCTGAAGAGAATGAAGAAATAAAGCTTGATTATTTTTTTTTTTTTTAGAAACCCCTCTTTTATTTCAGGGAAACCACTGCCAGCAGAACCAAACCCATGAGCTCAAAAGCCACAGAGGAGCCACACACTGACCTGGTTCATGGCCCCGGCCTGGCTTAGCTGTCCAGGGTGCTGAAGAGGAGAGGTTTGCCGGGGTCCCATCGGTGACAGCTGCATGTTCATCTGGCCAAATTGATTCATTCCTGTGCGTTTGTGCCAAAAACAACATTTATGAACAAAGGCCTGAACTCTCCTTTGGGCCCCACTCAACATTTATAGAAGAAATAAAGTCAGTTTCTCCCTAATTTTGTTTTCTAGCAACCAGTTCTCAAGCATGCAATACTATAAAGGAAGTATTTCCTTCTATCAACCAGTTACATGGAATAATATGTTAAATATAAAATGTCCAAGCTTTGATACAGCTTCACAATACAGCCACTAATAACAAGCATCTCTTAAATTCACAAGATCATTAAATGCTGTTACAGATATGGTTTTTGGTTTTATTTACAAATAATGTATATGTAGGTAACTATTACACAATATAACTAGCTATTTTCTTAATCAAATGGAAAACTGCAGGTGAAACAAGGGCTATGACACTTCAGCAAGAGCTGCCCAATTCCCAGATTCCTTCAAAAAAATCACAGTAGTGAATTTTCTTCAAAATATTTACCTGGCTGTGTCTGCATGCGATTCATCATCTGGTTTGGCACATTGGCACGTATCAGGGTTGGATCAGGAAGAGGACCATCTAGAAAAAAATAGGTATTAGAATAAGATTATGACATTTAGAAGATCACCAGGTTTCATCCACTGAATATTTTAAGTAAGAATTACACACTAAAACCCATGTGTAAAAACATCTTGTATGTACAGACACAGCCGAGTAACTCTAAATAATATTGAAGAGTCCTCAAGGCGTGAAGCAAAACCAAAAACTTCCTTGAAAATACAAGCATACTCAACTGACAGAAATATCCTCTGACTTAGAGCCAGCTTTCAGAAATTGAGGACAAATGTGAAGTATGTTATCAAGGTACAACAACAAACACAGCAGCTCATGAACACGAAAGAACTTCTACAGACCACTCTACAGCATTACTGCACCTCTAGATTTAAAACACTATCGAAACTATATAGTTCAAGAGAATATTTATCAGAACTCTGAAGTCTGAAAACTACTAAATACACAATACCATAGACCAAAAGTGTCATTTTACTGCTCAAGATCAACTTTCTACAGAAGTTACAGCAAATGAAGTCACAGTATTGCCTTTAAGAATCTCAGATCTTAGTAATGAATCTCTGTAAATCCTGTTCTGACTTCAAGTGTAACAAGACCCAGAACTGAATTTACCAAGACACAATCAAATTTAAGCAGAAGAAACTCAGATTAAGATTATTCAGTGCCTGGAGCTACTGGATCTTTCCACAGTGTTAAGAAAAAAAAAGTTATTTTGTCTCGTCAGTTGACTAATTCAAATTTTGACCCTATCTTCTTAGACAACTCATTACAGTGTCACTGGCAGCTGAACATCTGCTTCTTTGAGGTGTCTTAAGAGCTCTTAACTGTAAAGTATCTAAGAACATGTGAGACAAAGAATCAGGAAGAAAAATCTTTTTTCTTCTGAGAAGGAAGCTCTTAGGAGAGAGTCATATGGGTAGGAAGGACAGTGCTCTTGAAAGTATGTTTGCAGAACCAATGCACTTAGCTTTAAGAAAGACTACTTCAGTCTCCAGAGCTGTCAGTCCACAGATTAAAAAAAAAAAAGGGTAATCTTGAAGGAGACTGTGGCTCAGAGAGTTAAAAAAAAAACTACTTCTCTTTTACAGTTAAATTAGAGTATAAGATGCATATTTTATTTTGAAATGTACATCTTAAAATATCATATTTCAATTATTTACAGGACTTAACTGGAAATACAAGATTACAGTATCCGCAGATGCCTCTCTACTTTTGAACCAGAAACAGCACCCACTGTAATTTGTTACCTGTCTTTATCGATTACCTAAATAAAAATATACTAAGTACCTGACAGCCTACAGTGCTTTATCCCTTCCTAATGTACTTTAACAGCATGATAGTTTTGATCATTTAGTCCTCTCCAAAGTAAATTTTATTGTAATATACAAAAGCATGGTTAACAAGGAATATACCCTTATCATCATCATTATCATCATTAGTAATTATAATTATAATAATAAATCTCTAGCAGGAGGAAGGTCTATTTAAGTAAGAGAACTGCTGTGAAGCAGAAGACATCTGCACAGGGAAAAAAGTGAAATCTATAGTTTTCATTGCATGCTGGGAAGGCCATTTGTCTGAAAAAACCAAATGTGGCACAGAACAAGTACAATCAAAAGTTTCAAATGCATGAATACGTAAGTACTCCAAACATCATACTTTCTGCTTAGCAATAGTAATAGCGATGATCATTTTAAACATACACAGCTAAATATGAAAATATATTTCTCTTACGGTAATTGAAGTTATCTTTAAATCAATTACTTCTAGAAATGAACCTAATGATACTGAAGTTCTACAAGAGCAAGGATGCAACTTCATCTTTATTCTCTCCACCCTTAAAGCAAGTGTAAAGGTTTACAATATTTAATCAGAAGATTAAACGTTTTTAGAAAACTTATGGTCATTAATTAACACATAAGCCAAGAATTTTCAAGTACTTCTCAAAAAAGAGAAGAAAGTTTTGTTCAACTTTGAGCAAGTCAGGTACCTGGGAAACAAGAAGGGTAAAACGGGTTACTAGCCTACCCAAATGACAGCAAACTGCTACTCAGTAATGCAACTGTTCTTACTTGCAGACATCCCTGGCTGTGGCTGCCCCATGTTGGGGCCTTGATTCATGGGAGCCTGTGGCATGCCCGGAGCATTTGGGATCATGTTTTGCTTCTGCAGCCTGGTTCTTCGCTTCTCCTCCAGCTCCTTCTGAATCTTATAGATCTTCTCCGCTAGCAAATGATAGTACTCTGCCTGTTGAGGAGGATTACAAGTCAGGAAAAGGAGATGACACACATTTTAAGTAAAGGCAACGGGTCCCAGTGGTCCAAGCTTGGAAAACAGCCTCTACAGACATACTGACTTGACTGGGGACGGCTCTCCCTTTGCAGGGGTGGTGGGCAGATAGGGGGGCAAAAAGGGGGCACTATTGGCAACCAATAGGCCAACGCTGGACAATTCTCTCACTTCTTTGAGCAAATCACAGTAAAGAGCTTTATGCTGCCTCCAGGGAACACCAAGAAGCCTCAGGCACAGCACACTCTGACAGGCACCACCCTTACCCCTGACATGCCCAGGCAGAAGCCTGCAGGGGGCTGGTTCCTAGCTGCCATCCTGCAGTCCCTGAACACACGCCTCCTCAGCCTGGGACTCTCATTTGTGCTCTCTCTCCTCTTCCTCCCCAACCACCATGGGATCATGGTAGAGATGCACACAGTTGGATGACAGAGGATGGTACCTCACCCTGCTATTTGCTGATTCATACATATCCCCTTCAACTTTCCGAGCGTATGCCACCAGATTCTCCATACGCCGATCCTTCAGTGCTGCAGGGTCGGGAGTAGGAAATATGGCTTGGACTCTGAAAGAAACAAGAAAAAAAAAGCACATGAGTGGTTAGGATGTCCCCAGACACAGATATCAGTGCTGACCCCAGTGATCTGAACACAAAGCAGTGAGGCAATCTTCTAAGAGACTGTCCCCAGCTGCTCAGGGGACATCACTCTGTGTAGATGGCTTGAATACACAGTGGGACATTTCCAATAAAACAGCCCCAAACCAGCAGATGCAGCTCCATCTTTTGAGCTTTTGCTCTCCCTTCTCACAGACTCTGAGAAAACTCACTCCTTGTCCCCTAGTTTTAGAAGCCAAGCTTCCTCATGTCCCATAGACATACCTCAGGGGCAGCAAGTCGCTTAACAGGAAGCAATTTTGATATTAGCTACTCACAATTTATGAACAAGATGGTTTCGGAGATCCTGAGTAATGTCTTCATGCCACTGTTTTCGAATTCCGGTATTGGATGGTTGAGCTGTTGGCATAGCTCCCAAACTGGCAACGTTGGCGCTTTCACTCATCATGGGGCTGCAAAAACAGAGCAAGAATTGAGGGCAAAAGTCTAGCCCAAGCTTAGTCATCTTATAGTCATAGCCTCTTTTGGAATAATGTTAGGACAAAGCGCTAGTTCAGCCGTGCCCTAATCAATGGATAAACTCTGCAGAAATAGCTGCACTGACACCAAAACAAGGCCGTGAAAGAGTACATGCTGTCCTATCCAAGGATTTGGAAAACGGCAACAAAATCCAAAGGGAGAGACAGCCATCAATGGCATTTACCCCACTGTTTATGCAAGAAGTGCCATGAGATCAAAACAAAGTCACTGGCATGCAAAGAACAATTCAACTTACTTTTGAGAATTCATGGTTGAATGTAACATTGAGTCAGGAAGCAAATTAGGGGGTTGAACCCCTACTCCTCCATTCACTCCCATTGGATTTGCACCTAGAAAACAGAAGTATTCTGAAATGAACAACCCATTTACTGTGCAAAAGCAATAACTGCTCAGCAATAACAAGGGTCTAGACTTTCAAGTACTTCGAATTTTGCCAAGGAAGTTTAATCAGCTGTTGCTCTCTTCACCCTCTTCCTCTTACAAACTTGGAAAAAGCTTGAGGCACAACACTGGTGACACCACAAAGCTGGTCCAAGTGAGGCACCACATCATATTCCTCCTCTGCACATCTTCCTAAACTCCTCAGCAAACAAGCAATTTCAATTTGCTGCAAACTTTATGTATCAGTCTTTTTCTGTGCCTCCCTAACTAAAAGACTCAGCATTAACAACATTTTTTTTCCTTTTTTTTTTTCCTCCCCAGAAAGAGTTGGTTTCTGGTATTTTTTGTCAGTCAAGGGCTTCAGGTATATATTCACAAAGGCTTAAAAACCTTAAAAACATCAGCTTCCACCTACATCTTACAAGGTCGCCTCTCATCCACTCCATACTTAAGGATCCTACAATGAACTCCAATGTTTGTACTAAGAAGGAAAATCTTAACAATACTTTGCAAGAAATACTCCAGTAATTTGTTACATATCAAAATCTGCTCTTCTGAATCACAGCAGATCTCAAACACCATACAAAAATGTGATTTTCTTCACACACCACAGTTAAGACTTGAATAGTGAAGAAAAACACAGCCCATTTCTGTCTGGAGCTTCTGAACACATCAGTCAGTGAAACTGAGTAGCATGAAAGCCATTAACAACCTTCACATCTATTTAAGACACCTGAATCCTACAGAAGTTGTTTTTCAAGCAAAATTAGACAATGGGTACAGGAGAAATCTGCTGAAACTAAATATATCAAGCCTAATATATATCTCTAATAACACAACCCAGTGTTTAACAGCCTTTTCTTAAAGCTGTTTCCAGCCTCCCTTCTTCCCTTTCCTAAATTTCCTTCGCCATCTGAGAGCAAGCTGGTGTAGAAGACAACTGTCAACCCTTCCTCAACTCTCCTTTTCAACTGACAAAACCAACTATTTGCATGATCTACCTCAGACTGCATCTTTTCACATCGCAGTCCTCACCTAATCCTGCTGTTTCTCCTAACCTAGCCCTGTCGTCTCGTAGGCCGTGACCTGGTAATTCCTCTCTCACCTGTTGTAATTCCTTCTTTAGCCATCATCCCCTACTTACAAAACAAAAGTCTACACTCTCCATGCCTGTCCTTTCTACCTTCAGCTTTAGGTTTTCACTCTTCCAACCCTTTTCAACCCCATCTCATTGGAATTTTTTTTTACCAGTGCCCAATAACAATACACAGGCCAAAGTCTATGTCTATAAATGTTTAAAAAAAACCCCCAAACTATTTTGCTTCAGAAGAATGGATGACACATGCCTTTCAACTCTTCAAGGCCTTCATTACAACATTTTGGAGCTTCTAGAAACTTATCTTCTTGTAAAACACTCATGTATAGTAGGAAGACCATATTATTTTAATCTAATTGTTTTAAGACTAAGCTCTTGGGACCTTTCCCCCACCTGCTGCTTAAAAAAAACCCCAAAACACACTGAAAGGTAAAGTTTTAGCAGTATACAAGTCACATGCAACCTATGATGATGAGTCATGTCATTAACAAGTCTACTCTACCCAATATCCTTTTCTTGAGTAACTCAGGAATAGCGCATTCTTTGGTGCATAAACTGCATCCTGCAACCAACTGTTGCTTTCCTCTGCAACCTCTCAGGTCCTTCCTCATGAAATTCCTATGCACACACAGCTTATCATGGAGCACATAGGAAGGAGCTCTGCAATCGCATGCAAACTTACAATACATATCTACCAACTCATCTTTCCTCTTTTCCATTAAAAAAATAAAAAACCAAAGCGACCTCTACTTAAGCAACTCAAAGAGCTGGGGGTGAGAAATCTTCTGTGATGAAATCTCAACCTATCAAATTAGACGTGATGGTTTAAAGGTTGCATCAAAACAACATTAAATAAAACAGGTTCTGAGACAAAAAAAGAAAAAAAAAAAATCATTTTCCAAAAAGAATATTCTTCCCCAGAAAACTTGTTTTTCAACAGAAGGCATCTGGGCCCTCTACTGTTCCTATTCCACTGAGTAGCTTGCTCTCTCAAGTCTAAAATACTGCAGATCCAGACCTTTTCCAAGTTAACTAGCAGTATTAAGCTAGTAGGTTAAAAAAGTTTACATTACGCATAGCATGGGAAAGCTGCTTGCAGTTTGTACTTTAACAGGTAAACTTACTCATAGGATTCATAGGGCGCAGACCCTGTTGTGACTGTCCTTGTTGCTGACTCTTCACCTGAGCCTGGGGCTGTGTCTGCATCTGGTTCCCTTGATAGGTCAGTCCAAGGGCTGCGTAGGCTCTCTCGATGGAGCTGGGGTCTATCTGACTGGTAGTGTTTATGCTGGGCGTTGTCTGCTGCCCCACGCCCACGGAGCCAGTATTAGCAAGTCCTACCGCAGCTCCGCCCAGCAGCGCTGGAAGAGACACCACAAGTCAATAAGGACAGTAGGAGGTGGCCAAAGAGGCCCACAAGAACAGAAAAAGAACATAAAGGGTGTGCTGGCCATTTGGAACTAAAACATCTCCTTCTAGGAACATGCAGGGAAGAGGTCAGGTCTGGAAAACCTGTCACGAAACAGGGAGACAAATTTTGTCCCAAGCAGGCATTCCAACAACGAGCTGTTTTCCCTCTGAATGGCCAAGGGAAATCCCACTCTAAGTATTTAGGACATATCTGTTTGCTTCAAACTGAAAACAGAGGCACACCATGTCACAGAGGCTAGAGGCAGAAGGGTATCTACAGCTCTTCAGCAACTATGGCAATGCCTTTTTTTTTTTTTTAAAAAAAGTCTTCTTAAACCAAGAAATACCTCACTTGAGTAATCAGAAGAGCCTAAAGTAAACATTAAGGAAAAAAAAAATATATACAAGTAATGCAATGACAGAAATCTTGCCAAAGATTTTGGCAAGAAAACCAAGAGGGACAAAGAGAAGGGGAAAGAAACATCTGATGCAAACAAGGGATGAAAACAGAGTCAAGCATCATCAGGGCTGAAATGACACAATCCTTTGTGTATGTGTGTGCGTATTTGTCTCCAGAACCTGGGCAGCTGGAAGAGGTGGTAATGAAAAGCCAGTCATTTGGGCGAGAGCACCGTGACAAAAATCACATTAAACGTTCCTACGTTCAAGAGAATGACCCTTACTACCTGGGTGAAAGACAATTTAACTCCCAACATGCATTTTATGGTTTATCCAACGCACAGAACTCCCAGTAGACTTACATTGTTGATTTCTTTTGTCCCCAGCATTTTTGAGAGGCAAGCATACAGGACAGTCATGCCTCGTGCAATTCTTCCAGTGCGAGATGATTTGTCGGGAAGATGCGCAATGTGCCACTGAAAAGGGAGGGCAAGGAAAACCTTTTAGAAACTACTGCCAGTACCTCCACATGGTCAACACAGACTGGGTAGGAACAACTGCTTCTCTCAGGGCAAATGTCTGTATCAACACAGGTCAGCAAAGCACTACCTGAAATAGTTCAGCACTAACAAGCTCTGCAAATGCAGCTACATTTCTTTCAAGTGATACTGGCTCACCTAAAGCTTACTTGGTAACATAATCAAAGAGCTACATCTCCCTAACTCAAAGGGTAACACCTTAGACATCAGGCTTCAGGCAGACTTTACTAAGCAACTGAGATGCCAGCAACTGGCACAAC